AAAGAATCCTTTCTAAGGTCCGTACTCGAAGAATCTCTAGTAATGCTAGTCTACTAACTAAGGATTGTTTACCCCTATTTAAACACCTCTATTTCTAGTGTTACTACCCCTTTAGCTTGGATTTTTCTATTAGTGCTCGGTTTTGCAATGTTCTTAAATTCCGCGTTTAGTACGGCATATATATAGATAGAGGTTACCTAAGGTTTTATTTATCTAGCATTGGTAGCCGTTAGTATAGAGCGGTAAACTAGGGATAGGTGATAAGCTAAGGGGTAGGTAAATGATTTAAGACTTATCGCGTATTATATAATCTAATTAGTCGATAGCATCCTAGAGAGTGCTACGTGATTCCGGCGTTATAGTCAGGTAGCGCGTCTTAAGGTGGTTTTTAATCTAACTAGGCGGCATAGCAAATTCGCAGCTCTTATAGATTAAGATGCCGTAGCGGGATATATACGTAAAGTGTAAAGAAAGGCGCTCTATCTTAAAATCGTTATTATAAGAAGTTGTCTACGGATAACTTTTTCGGTGCTTTCGTCGTTCGTAATTAGAAGGGAGAAACACCGACTTATCGGTTAAGTTATAAGTCCCTAAGCTATTACGAATAGAACATAGTCGCTTCGAATTAGCGGATTTAGCGTATCGGATTTGCTGAGTTATTAAGTGTGCACTAGGCAGACTTCTTTTGCCTTTCTGCCGACAGTCGCGTTTTTGCTTCTATATCTATTACCGCTATAGGTCGTCTTTCCCTACTTTAGGTCGCAATACAGATCTGTACCTTAACTAGATTATATTATAGTTACACTTCGGGTTACCGACCGCTCGCCGTCGTTATTATCCTAATTGCGCGATTCGCCTAGGAGTAGTAAGCTAGAGAGCCAGCCTAGGGAGGCCGAATCATTATCTCTACTAAGGCTATTAAGACGAGCACGACGGTTATAACGGCGTAAGTAGCTATCTCGGTCGCTATAAACGGAATAAAGTAGTCTAGATAAGCCGATTTCCCCTTTATCTTAGACACTCGTGCTATATAAGGCGGCNGCTAGGACCGACGACGGCGAATCGACCCTAAGTTGCGTATAAAAGTAAAGTATTATTCGTTAATGCCGGATGCAGTGTATATAGTCTTCTATATATCTGGATGCGGTATAAATAAAAGAAGTAGAGATTTAGGTGGCCGTAGGAGGTATGTAAAAGGGATTAATGGTTCTGGTATTTATATATAAAACATTGTCGGTAGACAACTTCTTAGACTATGCGACCGTAGACTACTTTATAGACTAAGCGACCGTAAGGGTATATGTATGTAATCTGGTCGCGTAGGTAAGATGAGTGTTTTGTAGATTTAGCCTTTTATGTTATATGGAGTAAGATTAAGGCCTATACGCAGCGACGAACTTCGAGATTTGACGACGTTTTAGCAAACAGATATAATGGCTACTAGGGGTTCTATGCTTTTGAAATTCTGGTTGGTCGAGTGGATTAATATGTTCTATTTTCTGTCGGAAATTTGGCCGGATTAGAGTGTGTTAAGTTTAAAGGAATTGAGTGCCAAGTTTCAATGGAATTGAGTCCTGTCCACGTGCTAAGACGAGCGACGCCGGGCGGGGTTTCAATGGAATTGAGTCACTTCCTTCGTCGGATTGCAGTTAGATGTATAATTTACTCTTCCGGGTGATCAAGAACGGCCAACTCAATTATGCAAGCGAGTCGTGTCACGCAAACGTTCACGTTCAGACGTGGTGCATCGCCATCTCTCTATCAATGCCAGGCAGCTTTGCTTCGACGACGGTTGCAACTAGAGCCGCGGAGCAAGAATGATTGTGAAGATAACGCGCGTCTTCCGGCAAGGAGAGCATCTCCCAATAACGGTCGAGTATCTACCTTTGGCGGAGATGAATCCGACGATCGCGAATACTCAAGTATGGGGCCACCCATCGGTCCATGTATATCTCCTTTTTCTGTTTTTATCCTTCGTTTTCCCCCTCTATTTTTCCGTCTTCGTTCCTTAACTTTGAGCAAAGCTAGGATTGAGTGTTGGGCAGGTAGGTAATTATAAAAGAGAGGTGTGTGTAATCGCGAGAGTCTGAGCGCTTGAAATGGGCGTCAGAATTTGAATTGCGCGTCGACTTCTCCTCGCGACAAGTTCCCAAATCTGGATGTGCAAATCCTTAGACTGCACAGCGACAATATACCTATGCAGGATGATATGTCAAATACCCTTAGGCAGTCTTTCCAACTCAGGACTGGGAGGCTTAGCAAAATCCCTTCTTTCTCACAACTGACTCTCAGCTCCGCTGCACTTCCAAGACGAGATTGATGCGTTGATCTCTAATCGAGAGGTTATCGATGTAGCACTGGGTCAGTCAAAGACACCGGAGAACAAGTCTAAGGTCAACGATCGATGATGGAGAGACCTCCGCACCCGCAGTCATGACTGCGTTGATGACAAGGACGGTAAAGCAGGAAGACACTGGTACGAGCGCCTGAACTTGTTACCGTTTCCAACCCTGTGCAGCCAGATCAATTGTGGGTCAAGAGACGTCAAAACATTGACAATCTTCTTTGGAGCCCCCCCTCCGCGTACCACTGAGCAGAGTAGGACAATGCGCGGCGATACGTTCTTCTGAGCACTGCAGAAGCACTGACCACAATCTCTCCAGAGTGTAGCCGAAGACAGGCGCATTCATAGAATCGGGTCGACCTTGCAAGTAATCTTCTTGGTGCACGAAGTTCCCGGGGTCCTCCAAGGCTGTCCTCAGCGTCTTGTATAGTGACCGCTCATTCCCGCGAAGTCTGGCCGCCGAAGCCACGAATTGACCTTTGTAGGACAACAGCATCTGCTGGTCTGTACAAGTCTCGTTCATCGCTTGGCTCCATACCACAGGGACAAGTAGGTCGTCCCACCATCCGAATCTATCACTGCAGCCTCTGCAGTTGCAAGTTTGGCCGCTAAAGCCGAGACTTAGCATCCCAGTCTGTGGGGTGTAGTAGTCTCTGACACGCGGGAAGAACTCGCGTGGGTTGTGGATGTCGGCTTGTAGGAAAAAGGTATGAGCTGCAAGATCGTCCCACTGCTCGACTATATGGTGAAGGTAAGTGTGACCCTCACGGCCTACGTTGGGCAATTGCACAACCCTTGTCGCTCCCGTTTGCTTCAGAAGTTCATCGACGTTGGCAGATGGATTTTTCGTATACACAATGAGCCTAGGGCTTCTGGGTCCGATCTCGGGTAGGCGCTTGAGTCGTTCTGCCGTCTCCTTGATCGCAGAGGGCGATTCTTTGAACATGCTCACCACGATATCAAGTTCCGATATTGGTTCATAGCCACGGTCTAGTCGTGGCTTGAATGGAGATGTCACGTTCATATGTAAGGCTGAGAAATTTCGCTTGATAGAGAGGATCCAGATCACGCTTGTCAGGGCCAAAAGAACGAGATGCATGATCCACAGACCGGGTATGCCAGAGCCGAGTAGGTGCTGCGTACCGTCCTGACTTGCAGCTTCCAAGGGTTGCTCGGTAGAGGCATCATCGGGCCCAGAGCCAGCTGTCTCTGCAAGTTCTAGATGTTCTCCTGACTCTGCCACAAGGTCATACATATTGTAAGACGTGCCGGTAAATATTTGCTCCGATGCGCAGACGACTGCTGTACCGAAAGCAACGAGCTGCGGCCAACTGAGGTATGACGCCACACCCAGCGCTTGTGATGTGAATCCTGCAAGACCGACTAACACGAAAGCAGTATATCCGGCGGTCCAGCCTGCCACATTATCACTAAGCATCAGGAACCCTAGAACATAGGATGTTGCACTTGACACGACGTTGACATACAGCATCGCTTCTGATCAGGGGTGGCGACCGAGGCGGCTGTCCTGTCACTCAAACCGTAGCAGACTGCTGCAATACCAAAGGGCAACAAGATCGTATGCAAGGGGTAGGTCTGCGTAATGACCGTTTGGGCGACATTCGACTGGCATGACTGTGCGTGATATAGCAAGCCCGCGCTCGCAAGCGAAAGGAGACTAAGTATGCCGAATACGAGACCGTTCGGCGTGAGTCGGTAGTCGTCAAACATGATACAAAAGCAGGCAAGCAAGCTCAGACTCATCCTGGTCTTGTACCATCTTGATCTAGGTTTGTCTTGGTGAAGGTGCAAGATAGAGTTGCTGGTCATAGTCACCAGAGGCTGTACAAAATCAGCGGTAGCACATGCATTTCGACATCGAAGCACATACCATAAGCATGAGCAGAGCTATGGGATTCTCAAAATGCAGCATAGCCTGGCTCCAGAGGATAAGAAATGCTGCAAGAAACACTGTAGATAACAGTAATTTTACATTGTTGGAAATAGATCTTGAGACAATCGCAAATTCAAATTGAAAAGGGTCTTTGACGAATGCTATAGATGGCGTTTGTTCGAGTATGCTGAGGCAAGTGAGCATGATACCTGCTACAAGAAGTTGGAAGGTTAAAAGATAGAAAGCTGATTCGTCAGCGCCTAGGACAGTGGAATGTGTTGCTAGGTACACATAGCACGTACGATAGTCTGTTGTCGCGTTAGGTCATCAGCGCTCGAACCGCTATAGCAGTCAACATACGATGATTGCTCGTTATAAGCATGTATTTACTGCTTATGCTAGATATAGCAGTAGCTCCCGCCTAAGCGCTGCACGATTTCAGGCTAGGATGCAGTGACATTGTATATTAGAACTTACTATAGGCGTATGTGTGTAAGCAGATTCATGATGATCAGTAAGATTCGTCCGGCCTTGTGCTTAGGAGCGATAATCGGTGTCGAACAGTAGTCTAGACTCTATTAACTAACAGTCGTGTTATGAATAAGAGAAGTGTGTGTAGTAGTCGTAAGACTGATCGCGATGTGTTTAAGTGAACACGTGTGATTGTGGCGAAAAAGCTCCGACTCACGTAATTGTTCGTATCCCTCGAATCTAGAACTCACGAGGATTCGCCATAGCTCCGGTCGAACTACTAAAAACGCTCAAAGTTTGATGCTTCTAGCACTTTAACGATGCACGACCCAAACAGAAAAAGCTAAGCTCCTTTTCTATAATCGTTTCCTGTAAGGGCGAGTGCTTTATTTGCTCGAGCATCGTACTGTTAGTAGGACCATCTATGCCTGTAAGTATAGATTAGGCTAAGATCTTAGCGAAACAGAGGCTGTTCGTAATTATATACAATTCGGCTTAATCTAACTTTTGTGATCGAGGGACTATGTCGACAAGGGCGCAACCGTCAGTGATCAAGTAGGGCGCAATAATGTCGGTCCGCAAGATGAAAGCTTAATGCTGCAAGCGTAAGTAAAGCTGGGGGTCCTACTCCCTAAGGCTTAGCGCGTACCTTCGGGCTACTCACCACTGATTGGACCTGATGACTCCATACAGTCTGGCAACAGTGCATTAGTAAAACTTTGACAGTCTCTCACAGTATGGAAGTCGGCATCGCATCGAATGTACAGTGTAGAGAATCCGAAATGAGAACTACTCGAATAACCTAGAGTCGAGACAAACAACAATGATTGTTCTCTGTAACATTTCGATCCTCTAGCAGTGAGTCAGACGTAACGAATAATGAATTAGTATAACAGTCTTCTAGAAGGGCACAAAAGTATTAGAAGCACTCGGTAATCAGGTAGAAAGCACCTTATATTTTCGTCCACATGCTACGCGGACCTTAGTTGACTCTACTTTGTCTACGCCATAGTATAGTCGCTCGGATCTCGCTACTATAAAGCGATAGTTAGATCTGCTCCTAGAAGAGATATATGCCCTTAGAGTAGTCCTATGCTAAGAGCTCCTCACTATAAAGAGACGCCAAGGCCTTAGGCTAAGTGAATGGCATTTATTTTCCGCAACTATAGCCCCAACTATAAATCACACGTCGCCTGCCTAGTACTCTGCAGTGTTGGATCAATCCCTATTAGATCTCGTTCAGGCTTTATAGCAGGTCCTAAGAAAGCAGAAAGTCGCATTTCCGTTGGTGTCTACGCTATATGCAACCTACAATCTCTTACTAAGAAAGCGGGTCAAGCGTAAGGACATATTTTCCTAGGTTATGCGAAGCTAATCTTGCTTAGCTATTTGATTCCATGCACTAAAGCGCTAAAAGTCGCACCCCTCCCTACTTAACAAGCTTGAATTAGTACAGAAATTCTGCCTCATGTACGTCGTCTAACGATCAACGGCATAGCTGGATCGCCGCTTACGGCCCGTTACGCATTCTAATACATCCATACACAATAAGTTCCACGATATGTCAAGCCCGGACGGCCACACCCCACTTGGCATGTCACGAAGTCCATCTTGGAAGCAGATTCAGTAGTGTTGCCTTGTCCCGAAATGGCTGCCTACCGATAGTGCGGCAAGCATTCAGGCTAAGGGCGTACGCCCTACTTAACGAAGGTTGTACCTTGCCATAAACATAGCTGACCTGTAGATGGGCATAACGGGACGTCCAGCATTGCCTGAAGCAGTTGGACAGAAAGGGCGTTGCTCCCAGGTGAGCAACACACAAGATCAACGTCAAGTGGCCAACTCGCCCAGACCATCAGGGGTGTAAAGCAGTGTCCACGGCAATGCAGCGAGGGAAGAACGGATGTAGGATACGGGAGGTGATGACTTTTGCATTCTGTGTCGGCACCGTGGCAGGCCTGTGGGAGTCTCGAGCCTGTGATTCGTCAGCTAAATGTCACAGACTTCTCGCTTTCCTTCATCGGACTGTCTGTCTGTCAAGCTGAAACACTACTGAAGGCCACACGGATGAAAAGAGAAACTGCGGAAGCATGAAGTCGCGAGGAAAGAGCTCCTAACGTAACGCGATGCAAGCGCGGCGCGACGCTCGCGTTACGTCAGGAGCTGATCCCGACAGAGACCGTGCCCTTATAGCCGGGTCACCCCAACAACAAGCATTTTTTTTGATCTGAGGATTGTAAGCGCTCTTATCGAAGGATATGTACTGATGTTGTGTATTGAAGCCAGTAATTATACTCCAACGAGTGACCGTGGCGAAGTGAAAAACGGTGGAGCGTGTGCCGATTTTAGCAGATTTCATGTCGAACATCAAGGACACAACTCAGAAGGATGATTTCCATTGTGATCATGCTAAGCTGTTCGTCTGTAGTACCTTAAGATCCACGAAGCATGGTTGAACGATATCACATGATGTCAGTCCAGGTACAACAAGAGTGGAAGGTACTTTATCGGCTTTCTTTACTGAAAGTTGGAGGGCTGAGGTGAAAGGAGAGGTATCCCTGACGCGACTTTTGGCCGCTCGGGAGACGCATTCTGACACCGCATTCGAGCGCCTTGCTCATCGTCGTCGGCCTTGTTCGAGCGCGCTCCTTCCAATCACCAATGATTTCATCAAAGAAGAGCAACTTTCATGTAAATATCGCCTGTAGTATACAATCATCCATCTTGGAACTTCCTCACCGCTTTGTATATTGGTTCTGGGAATGTGTCGGCGGACGGTACCAGCGCATCGTGCATTGAGGATATCCATAGAAGGCCTATCAAGCCTTAGGCAACTGGCGGTCCATATCTGTTCCTGTAAAGACTCTACATATATGCGAGCAGGATAGTGAGACAGGTAGCAAGAATTGTTTATGTGATTTATTACAGAGACATGCACCAACTGTGGACAAAATCGATCACATTAATATCTTGACGCTCGATAAGATACATATAGCAAAGCACTAGCGCATACGGAAGAGCAGAATGGTGTAGTTAGAATGCGTCGCAGCTAATCTCGTCGCAAGAACGCGAAGCTAGGCGTCGAATTTCAACAGTTAATCGATGAATCTGCCAAACCGGCTTTTGGAAAGGATGCTTGTTAGGAACACACCGTCAAGAATCACCCAGATGGTCCGATGGACGTTCGGATAGCGCACCCGGAACCCTAAAACAGCACGTCGATGGGACGGTCCACGGCTAACCGCGGCTCGCGACCGCCCGCGGCTGGTCACTGGCCAAGCTCGAAGCAGATACAAGATTTAGTTGCACGGGTGACAATCCAGTCTCCATACCGCGAATAGAGATGCGCATAAGGACTTTGCGACCGCGACTGTCACCTGCTTGATAGCGTCAAAAGCAGCATCGGCTCAGCACCCATAAGAGAGACGACTAATGGGCACTGAGTAGCAACATGGGGGCAACAGCTCGTGAAAAAGTTGATTATATTGGATATCTTGATGTGTGAGTGGCCGAATAGTAACAATAAGATCTGATGGCAACTGCTTGGCAACGTGCCAAGCCAATTTCCTTCTCCACCTCGTCGAGGCAGCGGCTACAGTTTGGGCCGGTTGGCAAAAGGCGATTGCGATTGCAAGTAGTTGCCGCCTCCCTCTTCCTTCTTCTCGGCAAAGATCTACCTCAGTCAGGATTGTAACAAGGATCGTCGCTTGCCCCAATCATGTTCCTCTTCTTCAATGCTAATCTAGTACAGATGGCAATCGAAGAAGGAGCCCCTACAGGAACCGTTGACGACTACATCGCATGGGTAGTTAGCAGCTCATTCAAACTGAACTCAAGGATAATCCAGAGGGAGATATTGCCGCAATCAAAAAGATGAGAAAGGGAGAGTGTGGCAGTATTCGAATCCTCCAAAACAGCCTCCACCCATTTCACAGAAAACAACGACTTACTTTAGAGATAGCGACATGTCCCTATTGAGTGAGGTCGAATACAGCCAAGCCAACTGACCAATGTCCTGAGTGTAATTCTGGACCAGGTACTTCGGTTCGAAGAACAACTAGTAGGATGTACATTAGTATCATTGAGTAAGTCTAGTCGCGTAGCGATTCAGCACGGAGTCATCGAAGCTTATCTTGCCAAACTTTCCTGGAACGCAATGCTTGCCGAAGCGGAGAAACGGGACCGTTGTTTCACGGGACTGATGATTCACCGAGGAAAAGGGAAGTCTCGAAATGAATAATCTTGTTTCCCAGAACGACAAAGTAGCTATCGAGCTTCATTAAGATCACATTGCAGCTAAATAAAGTCGCTGTCGGTGATATGCGACCGTAGCGAACACCGTGGTTTGTCGAGGAATCAACCTCGCGTTGGCTTTCTACAACCCATCTCGCGACCGACATTTGCTAGATCTATACTCCTTAACAAGCATCCAGACAAGAGACAAAATCATTGTATAAGCAGGCCAATATCCTAGATAGCTAAGCTATATGTTATCATCATACCAGTGAGATAAAAGAAAGAGATATGATCCATAGAAAATGGTAAAAGCAAGAAAGAGTAAAACCGTATAGAGTCTTCACGTGCATTGCAAGAGATAAGTCAATGAGCAAGACCAGCACTATCACGCACTGATTCTTGCAACTATCCCGTGATCATCACAATCTGGCTGCTGGCCAAACCGAAGATAAGCGCGACTTACAATTGCTGCTTTCTGACGGATGTATTGGCACTTTAAGGCATCAAGCCCCACGGCTCTAGGACTCATACGAAATATCCTTTGCCCTAGTAGTGATAAATCCAGCAGAGCAGGAAACAACTTCATGTCAGCTCCTAGATGTAGTTCGCAGAGCCATGTGACCAAGGTGGCAAGATCAGCATCTCTGACGAGATTCTTGTCCGTCGATCCTGTGGCACCAGGGGATGGTGCGATTGCTATCCTTGTACAATGTCGGATGAGAGCAAGGGTGCAGCTGAGATGGCAGTCAGCTATGACCCTCGCGTTAGCGCCACAAGCCAAAGCAGACCCGAACCACGAAAGCTCAGCATTGAGAAGGCGGTATGCATCCGGACAGTACTTCCAGGCTTCTGTAAGCCATTCTGTCATGGGAGCAGCCTCTTCTTCCTCCGTCTCTCTATCAGCATCTCCCTCACTGATTGTGGTCTGTTTAAGGAATGGTGGAGCACTGTCTACCACAGTTGGGGAGACGAGCACAATGTCAGATCCAAACAGTTCTTGCATAGAATGTACTCGACGACTAAGAGTGCGATCGGCGGCGAATGTTTTCTTAGATGGTAGGTCTTCGCTGTTGCCCACATCAGTGCGTGAATATCGTAGACTACGGTTGCGCTTGAGTGAATCTGTGACTCGCACTGAAGGATCGGATGCGCTAGGCGTACACTCGGGTGTGCCGACCACTGGTAAAGATGCAGCGACCTCAACGTCGAAGCTTACGCTCGCCAGTCGTTGGATTCTGTGTTTCGAAGCCTCGGGTTGCATTGCTGTCGCAGGCAATAAATCTGGGAATGCCTTTACGGTATACACGGGTGGATCTGCGGTCGTATCAACCGGTGTGAACATGCTTGACAAAAAGGTCGCAGAATAGCTGGGAGAAAGCGAAAATTGAGCTACTGGTGGAGACGAGGGAAGCAGAGACGAAAAGTAACCATCGGGTTCCAGTGGCGGTTGTACTGCAACGAACCCAGACTTGATGTCTTCAGGTGCAGGATGGATAGCAGTCCCCTCTCGATTAGACGCTGTGGGAGGAATGGTGGAAGGCGGCTCGTAAGGAGGCAGCTGAATGACAGAAGCAGTTGGCGGCCCAAGTGCGGAGGACGTGGTCGCATCGCGTTTCTCATCAGAAGAGGGTTCATCTTCAGGTATGCCTTGATTGGACCAGAGATTGATACCACCAGGTCGATTACCGGGATACAGAGCTTTGAGGTATACAGTAGGAGTCTTGACCCGTCGACCCTGATTACTTGAAAGCATGTCACAGGCGTCTCTAACACCACGGTCAAAGTTCTCATCAGGATTTGCATAAAGATCGAAGTGACGTGAAGTGGAAAGGCGTTTCAATGTGCGGAGCATTGCTAACGATTGCGCGGGCGGTGTCGTCTTGAATTCATACTCCGGCATTATCACCCTGCTCTTGACTGAAGAAATATCGAACGACATTTGCATGAGCTTGTAGTTTCCGGTTGCGAGATCAGTAGGCATGTCAAAGATGCCCAGGGGGAGGTTGTCACCATAATCAACCAAGGCATTTTGCAGAAGGAGATGCTCTGCCGGGACCACGAGATACATAAGACGGCCCGCGCCAGGTCTCAGTCGCTTTTGTGAGACCTTGATGCGCATGGTCAATGTTATAAACAGGTCCATCGAGGTCCGGTCCACACCGATCCAGAGGCGTAAGACGTGTCCAGCTCCATTTTTGTCAAGTGGCTGACCTAGCGTTTCGGCGACACGTGGGCCTTCTCCTTGCATGATTGCGACAACAGGGAGCCCCCTCACAACCCATGAAAATGTGTTGAGCGTTGAGAGTTTCGAAGCCAGATGGTCCATCTCGGCACGGGTAGCCATGGTTGAGGGCGCACTAAATGTGTGTAGCCTAGACAAGAGTTAGCACTTCTCAAACCAAAAAAGAGAAAAACACTTTTCCCGCGATGTTGTAGCGAAACATGCGAACCCACCCACCCAGGCTTTGCGGAAGAGCAGCCTTGACTCGAGTGTGATTTTCGTGACGTGCGGAGCTGCGATTACCACCAGACGTGCTGCCACGTAGTGTCTGCACAGGTCGGGGGCCGAGCAAGCTCGAACGGGAGAACAACGCGGATGCGATCACCAAAGCCTCTGATGAAGCTGTAGCGACGTGTCCGAGGCTGTACTCCTGTAACGAGCAAAGACGGCGCGTCCACGGTCGGGCGTCAGCGGCGACAGACGAGCTGGGCTGTTCGAGGCGCACGTCGCGATTTAATCGGGTCGGTCGGTGGAGCTTAGGAAAATCGATGCGAAACGATATTGCGATAAAAGTGTATGACTGGACGTAAGTTGAGATGTCGAGGTCGAAGGGTTGGCTGCTCCGACGGGAGACCGATGACAGCGGCAGATACTTGGCTTTCGGCAACACCTCGGATACTGCTCAAGGGAAGCATAGCTATAAGCGCCGCCGTATGTAAATAAGGGATCGCTTAAGATAGTTTGATGTGATAGGCATGTAGCGACGCATGTTTAAAACCAACGAAACATGTATGCACGTTATAGACGCGCGCGCGTCTCGATTTAGTCTGCCTCCGGAAAATCTTAGTATTAAAGTCCCGTCAGCGTTATCTGGTAAACCCCGGAGACAAGTATATATCTAGCTTTGCATTAATTAATCTAGTTCGAATTTCGCATCGCCATCTTTACCTACGTCGCACTTCTTCTCCCGCTTCGTCTCGTGCTCGTACCGTCTAATAAACAACTTAACCGAGGATTAGGCGACGCTTCTTAAATATAAGTATATTTCTACTATACTAATAGTACGTAAGTCTAAAAGCCTATAATAGAGTCGTTAAAGTTGTATGAGTGTGCTATATAGTCGTTATCTTCGTTAGATTCTTCTTTACTACTATCCTCGCTATTAGTAGTGTCCTCGCTATTAGTAGTGTCCTCGCTAGGATTACTTTTAACATCTTCTTCTTCGATTTCTCCTTCCTTAAGATTATCCTTCTTCGTAATAATATTAATCTCGCTAGTACTATTACTCTTATACTTCTTTCTTAGTATAAAGAGAAACTATCCTCTTCTTATCTTAGCGTCGTAATAGTAAGCTATCTAGCTAAGATTTCTATAGGTTTCCGGGACCTAATTAGCTACTTAAGGAGAGTCCTCCTATAAAGCCGAGAAACTAATACTACTCGCGGCTTACTACCCGATACTCCGCTCTTCTATTCTAGATATAGCTAGCTACTTCCTTTAGGCCGCGGGCGTATATCGTTCTAGCGGTCTATAAGCTATACGCTAATTATTAATTACCTATACACTCTTCTAGACTATAGTCCTTCTTTAAACTACTATAGTTTAGGTATATATAAGATATAGCTATAGAAAGATATTAATAGGTAGTAACATTAAGCGCGATATTAAAATAATTACTTATCTATAATTTAAGAACTAAAGTTAACCTATAGCTATCTTTTCTCGAATCTAGCTCTTTCTAAAGGTAAGGGAATCTAATAAGATTATAGTTAAATATAAGTATCCCTAGCGCCTAAGAGAATAGTAGTATTAACTATAGGTAGTAGACTATTAGCTCGCTAACTTCTTTAGGTAGATAATAACAGATAATCTTAGTAGATCCTATAACGCTATAGCCCTTATAATATATAGTTATAGTACTTAAAAGACTATCTTTAACGAATATATCTTAGTAGTATATTATATTCGTATAACTAAGTGTCTCTATACCTCTTACTAGCTATCCTAATATAATATAGACTAAGAGTAAAAGGGTATCTAAGAAGCGCTTAACCTTATAGTTATAATCTTTTATAGTATAAACTATCTAAATAGGCTTTTTATTAGCTTCTTTAATCTAGATAAACTATCTTAAAGCTAATTATTATCTAAGACGCATTTTAATAGCTATTAATAACTATCTAGAAGTTCTTCCTTATTATATAGATCTTAGAGAAAATTCTAACTACTTCGATTTTCTACTATATTATCTTTAATTCTTAGAAGGTATATATTATAGCTAACTATTCTTAAAAGAGAATAACTAGTTACGGGGTTAGACTCGTAAAGAGGAGTATTAAGCGAAGTAAAGTAGGTATATATAGTAGTATATACTAAAGGGACTATTAAAATAACTAATTAAGTTAAACGTAGAACTACTAGAGGTTATTCTACCTTCCTATATACTTTATCTATAATAAGTGTATATAAGTATCTTACTTACTCGCTAGGTAAGGTAGTAAGGATCTACTTTATAGCTTACTAGCTTACAGCGTAAGGGAGTAATAATTTCCCTCGTAGCTTACTTACTAAGTAAGTAAGCTATTAGGGTAACCCTAACCGTACTACGGTTTAGTTAGCTTACCTACTAAGCGCGTAAGGATCGGCATATAGCTATCCTACTCGCTACCTTAGCAGGTAAGGCCCTCTAGCTAATAGTAGATCGTAATAGTATAGTATAGGTATAACGTCCTCTTACTACTTATTTAGATATAGTAAAAAGAGCTCTATAAGGTTTTCTATCCCGTACTAACTAAATCTATAATAAATAGCTTAAACTATATTATAGAAAGCTTAAGCGCCTATTATACCTAACTATCTAAAATAAGATAATAGGTTATAGGGTTAAACTCGTAAAGCGGAGTATTAAGCGAAGTAAAGTAGGTAGTATATAAAGTAGTATATACTAAAGGGACTATTAGAATAACTAATTAAGTTAAACGTAGGACTACCTAAGGTCGTCCTACCTACCTATATACTTAATAGATAATAAGTATATATATATTACTCTATATACTCTATTATACTCTATAAAGTAGAGTAGTAGAGTAGAGTAGAGTAGATAGCGTATTATATAGAGTGCTCTATTCCGCTAAGGTACGGGGAACTATAGAGTAGGCTATTATTAAGGGGCGGAGTCGGGAGTAGGTAATAATACGTAGATACGGGTCTAAGCTATATAACGAGACGTAGATAAGGGGATAAAAAGGTAATAGGGAGGAGCTATAGAAGGTAGTAAGTAGTCTTAGTAGCTCCGTACGGCCGCTTAGTAAGCGGCCGGCTAAGGTTAGGGTCACCCTAGCGGCTAGGGGTCATAGTTAGGTATAGCTAGATAGCTAACCGTAACAGCTATATAACCTTATCCGAGGTAGGATCGTAATACTATCCCCCTTCCGTACTAGCGTCGTCCCGACGCTAACGTATATAATTAGCTATCTATCTCCTATTTCTACCTTAGTAAGTAATGTCTCCTTCTTATAATGCCTAAGGAAAAGGATAATAGCACTAAATATTATAAAGGACTCGCCGCCTATATCGAATTAGAAGGAACTATTATAGTAAAACTATACGCGACTTACGCTAAGTATAACTGCGTCTATCGGGTCTACGTTCGTTCTAGAAAATATAGTAAATGTCTTCGTCGTAATTAGCGGTACGATATTCGTATATCGTAGTCCGAATAGGATCGCCTAAAGTAAGAGCGTAAACGGTTACGTAACGCTATTAAAGATACGTACTATACGTAAGAGTAGGCTCGAAAGGAAGCAGACCTCGCGCGCGAGCGTTAATAAACGGCGTTCGCCTAGGAGATACGCCTTCGTTAGTAAATAGATCTCTTAGACTAGAAAGAGGAGGAGGTAGTAGCTATAGAGTACGTAGGTATCGAATAAGAGGAGATCGACGCTATAGTACTTAAGTTTTCTACTAACGAGCCTAGCCTTAGGTTAGGTCTAGAGACTTAGAATGCTATAAATAGTAGTTTCGACTTATCTTCCGATTTCTAGAATGTTAAGACTACTAGAACTATCGTAGGAGGTTCTAGTAGTTCCTAAGGTTTCCTCGTAGTTCCTATATATTTTCTAAGTATAAGTAACCCCTCTATTTTATAAGGTATCGCTAACCCCGTTATTCTAGTATTTCTTCGACTTTAAATTCGTCGTCTTCTTCTATCTAGAAATAGAATGTTATCTATAATAGTATTTCTAGGTCTACTAGTTTAAAGAGTTATTAAAGGGCGGAGTCGGGAATAGGTAATAGTACGTAGATATAGGTCTAAGCTATATAACGAGACGTAGATAAGGAGATAAAGAGGTAATAAGGAAGAGTTATAGAAGGTAGTAAGTAGTCTTAGTAACTCCGTACGGCCGCTTAGTAAGCGGCCGGCTAAGGTTAGGGTTACCCTAGCGGCTAGGGGTTATAGTTAGGTGTAACTAGATAGCTAACCGTAATAGGAGTGATATATAAAAGACCGGGTGTATTTTCGTATTGTTAGGTAGTTAGAGTTTATAATTAACTAGCCCTCTAACTTCTAAAATTAAAAATAGTCCGACCTTAATATAATCTAGCTTTCTTATCGTCCGTTAAGATCGTAAGTTTTTTATAAGTAAATATACCTTATCTCCCTTCTTTAGCTAAGGATCCAGTTTTAATTTTTATCTATTTCGTCGTAAACTATCCTAGGATAATAGTATCTTTTGTCGTAATTGCTTATATAACCCCTTTAGCTAGTCGCTAGTAGTTATTACTCTGTCTACGTTTAGATGCTATAGCCTAGGTTCTATAAATAAATTAGGGTGCTTTCTAAAATTAGCATAAAATGGCGTNATTCCTATTATAGTAGAAACTTATTAATTTAGCGCTAGTTATNCTATTAGTAAGTAGTTAACCTAATTATCTTAAGCGTAGTTAACATAATGTCGTAAATAGGCCTCGAGCGTCTAGTTCGCTCTCTCGGTTTAACCGTTAGTCTATAGGTAGTAAGTAGTTAAGAGCTTATATTTAATACCTATTATAGAGACGAGTGTCTTCTAGTAGTTTAACGTAAATAGCTTATTACGATCCGTAATAAAGGACTTAGGGATCCTATAATACCTAATTAGTCTATCTAGAACTAAGTATACTAATTCCTCTACTATTATCGATTTTAAATAGGGAACGAAGTATATATACTTCGTAAGTCTATCGACTATAACTAGTATCGAGTTAAACTGCTAATATAGTCTAGAGCGTCTAGCGCTGTTTAAACTACGTAAGCTAGTAATAAAATCTATTATAACTTCGTCCTAAGGCTGTAGCGGTAGGTCTATAAATTAAATCTCTCTATATTTCGTATATCTAGACGACTTATTTATCTAACAGCTACGGCATTTCTAAACGTATACTATAACCTTTACTTTCATCTATAGAAAGGCAAAGTTGCGTTATATAACCTCGATTGTTTTAGTAATACTAGGGTAACCGTATATTAGGTTATCGTAGTAGTCCTTAATACACTGTTCCTAATATTGTTTAGGTACTTAGTATTTATTATACGAGATAAGAAACTCCTCTTTATTATCCTTTATAATACGTA